GTGTTTCGTTCTGCTATGCATGGGGTCGCTATGAGTTGGAAACAACTCGACGGCACTTAACAACAACAACAACAATCAACACCAATGGAAGCAGCAGTCAAGACATCAGATGACATACTGCATTGGGCAAATCTGCCGCAAAAGACTTTTTTCAAGTGCTGAAGAGCAAACATGTCTCCTAGAAGACTAAGGTGCACCTAACCCAAGCCATGGTATTTTCAACCACCTTTTATGCATGTGAGAGCTGGACAATGAGTAAGGGAGGCCAAAGAAGAGTTGATGCTTTTGAGTTGTGGTGCTGGTGAAGAATGCTGAGAGTACCATGGACTGCTAAAAGAATTAACAAATCTATCCTGGAAGAAGTACAGCCAGAATACTCCTTGGAAGCGAGAATGGCCAGACTTCATCTCACCTACTTTGATCATGTTGTCAGAAGGAACCATTCCCTGGAGAAGTATATCATGCTTGGTAATGAGGAGGTCGACGAAAAAGGGGAAGACCCTCATAGAATGGATTGACACAATGGCTGCAGTGATGGGCTCAGGCATAGCATGTATTGTGAGGATGGCACAGGACCGGGCAGTGTTTCGATCTATTGTACATAAGGTCACTATGAGTCAGAGATGACTCAACAACACCTAATAACAATAACAATGTGGTAAGTGTATGATTACAAGAAAACTGCCAACTGTTTTCCAGAGTGGCTGTGCCATGTTGCATTCCAAACTTCTGCCTTCTCAGTGCAGTAGAACTTCTACTCTCCTTGAACTCAGTCTCCCTATAATAATGCTGGAAGATGCTCCCAAACAGAAACCCAGGATGATCACTTGTGGGGCTCAGTACCTTGTGTTTCCCTTTACTCAGGGACCACAGTCGTCTATTGCTCAGTGCCCAGAAATACCTCTCCACATAATTATGTCTAGTTTTATAGTTGTTATTGAGGGGACAAATCTGGTACTAGTTACTCTGTTACAGTCAAACTCTTGCTTTTACAAAATAAAAGATTCTAGCTAACAGAATATTCTGCTATTTCTATTCATGGCTTTTTAAGTACAAAATAGATACTATCTAAGTCATCATATGCTAGAGATGCACAACCGAAGTAGAATGCTGGATCCCTCATGTCTATCTCCATCTCATGTTCATTAGGGGAAAGGTAGGGAACTGACAGAGCACTGAGAGAAACTGGGTAGAATTTTATACAGGTCTGAAAAATGTGCAGCAGTAGACCTGAGCAGAGGTCACTTTTTCTGGAGTCTTTAATTACAAACTTAAGAAAAGAAGTAAATTCATTCGAGTTCCTACTTTTAATATCAGTGGTTTTAGAAATAAGTCAACTGAGTTTTATTACTTTTTAGAGTGATTTCTTTGGTCCAGAGGCTTTATTTAAGACATAATCGGGGACTGATAAACCTCACTCACTGCTTATTCTCTCTCTTATGGCTAAACCTCCTTACAGTGTTGTTTTTCTGTCTTGTTTCAGTTACCCTTAAATCTTAAGTTCATTCAGTGACAACACCCAAGTTGAGAAGCTTAGGAGTATCACAAGCATTGCAGCCCACTTACTGTCCAAACACCAAACAAAAGTAGGAATGAGATATATGTCGGGAGAGACCCTTATTAATTGGAGCTTTCCATATAATTTCACAAGGAATAGGTATTGCAGGAAAAAAAAAAAAAAAGGTGATTTTGCCACATCTAAACTATTTGCCACATCTAAACTAGAACTGGAACTAGTGTAAAGACTATATTGTTCTCTGCCACTGTCTGAGTTGTAAACATTTGACCAGGGGACAAAGCCTTACTCTGGCAGGCAGCGGAAGATGAGAAGGCTCATGAATCTTAGGTCAGGAGCTAATTTTCCTATGCTTGTTTCCCTTTACAGTATAGATCGGAGGTCGGCAAATGTTTTCTATAAAGGACCAGGTAGTAAATATTTAGGCTTGCGGGCCACATGGTCTGTGTTGTGACTACTCAACTCTGCTATTTTAGTATGAAAGCAGCCATCAACAGGACACAAATTAATAAGCATGGCTGGGCTCTAATACATTTACAAAAAACAGGCAATGGGCATTTGGCCCATTGGCCATAGTTTGCTGACTCCTGATATAGATAAAAGGAGCTCTGGTAGTGCAATGCCTAAAGCATTTGACTGCTAACCAGAAGGTTGGTGGTTCAAACCCGCCAGCCACTCCATGGAAGGAAGACTGGGCAATCTACTTCCGTATAGATTTATTGCCTCGGAAACCCAAAGAGGGTTGCTATGAGTTGGAATCAACTTAATGGCAGTGAGTTGTTTGTGGGTGTTTTTTTTTTTTTTTTTTATAGATAAATCTAAGCTACCAAATGTTTGTTGTTGTTGTTGTTATTATGTGCTGTCAAGTCAAACCCGACTCATAGCGACCCCTCCTTGGGTTTCCGAGGCAGTATCACTACGGAAGTAGGATTGCCCAACCATCCTTCCGAGGAGTGGCTGGTGGGTTTGAACCGCCAGCCGTCTGGTTAGCAGGCAAGTGTCTTAGCCACTATGCTACCAGAGCTGTGTAAAATGTTTAAAAGAGATAAATTACAATTTTTATTGAGTAATGTTTTTTATTGATTCGGTAAAGCACTCTGTTGTTTTGCACATTTCCTCCAAGTGACCAGAGTGATAGAGGACTGCTTGTACATGCCACCTAATCATACAGTATTTTGTATTTATAACTTCAAAATGAAACCTCCCTTCTCTTGACAGATAAACACTACATGTGAAGAACACTGATTCCTGAAGTGGTCCTAGAGAAGGAAAATACTGATCAATATCACGTGGACTTACCCTCAGTGTATTCCAAAGATGCTGCTGAAGTAATCTTTGCTACTGCTTTCCTCCACTTGGTCAAAGCTCTTCATAACATGGGCTGCATGAAATCAAAGCAAACTTTCCCATTTCCTGCCACATTTGAGAATGCAAAGCAACATGCAAGTGAAGAAAGCTTTATGCTGGAAGAGAGATTTCTACCAAGGATGCCTTCTCCAGTTGTTCCAGTTGTCAAAGAGAAAGTGGAAACACCCCCAGTGCCCAATCTTGTGGTCCTCGAATATGCACACCGTCTGTCCGAGGAAATCTTGAATGATGCCTTGCAGCAGTGGGCATGCAATAACATCAAATACTGTGATATCCCATACATTGAGAGTGAGGGGCCTTGATGTTGTAGGGTGATGACACTTTCTTAAACTGTGGTTATAGTTGGTGCTAGTTTTAAATACATGAAACGAAAGGAAAAACTGGTGTGAATAAGTACAAATAACTATCTGGATGTAAAAAATGTATATGTCTATGATAACCTCCCTAGTGTAGGAACACAAGATGAAATGTGTTTTAAGCCATCTATGCTAATAGCAATTTGTACATGCTTGATCTTGAATTTTAGTTATTTAAAGGGCAGCACAGTAATCAGCTGCATGTCACACCACTTTCTTCCTAAGGCAGTAGCAACATCACCAAAGAAAATGTTTAAGACTAAAAAGTGCCCCAGCTTCCAAATTGTTTATTTTAAAGGTACGTCTTTAAAATAACTACTTAGTATTTACACAAAAAAGCTAAAGATATGCAAAGAGAATGGCACTCAAGCCACAGTTAGAATCAGTGGGTATTGTCTGTCAAAATCATTTGTGCCAAGGATCCATAATTTTTGACACAAATGATCAAGTATTAGAAAGCCACTCACATAGAAGAGGTACAACTTAAACCCTGTCCTTAATAAGATACTTATTTTTGTAAATGAAGAATGTAATTACCACCTTGAACCTCAGCACCCTAACCACAGCTGTTACTGGATGACTCAGACTTTGTGTCTTAAAAAGATTTACAGAAGCCATATTACATAAATGTCTATTGCATTAAGAAGCCTGGTGATATAACTATATAAGAAAACAGCAATCCAGTAAATCTTAAAATAACAGAAGCCTCATCTGCAAGGCAAAACATGGTCTCAGTGCTAAATGTATATTAAACCAAACTATCTCACAAGTATAGACAGTTGGCATACTGAACACTCGTTCTTTTTTGTTGTTGTTGTTGACGACTAGTGAGGAGTTATCATTCAGACAACTGTGGCACTAGATAATGTCCAAAGACTTACGCTTGCATTGCAGAACAGTAAAGACTGAAACAAAGCCAACACAGACTTTAAAGAGTAGTCATGCATCTTTCTAAATGGCAACACAATGCCCATAGAATATTTATAGCCATTATACCATACTTACTATATTATTTTTGTAAATTTACCTGTCTTTGGAGCTATTTCATTACTTTTTTAAGAACTGTCAAAGTACCTCCCTCAATTCTTTTTTTTAAAGGAATAAGTACTGTTTGAGAACTCAATGGTGACAGAAAATTTGGGGGAGAGGGAGGAAGATACTGAGAAGACATAACCTGTAGGAAAATTGGGACTGACTCTCTAGAATTACCTTTTCATCAAGATTTGCTACAAACTGAGTTTAAGTGAAAAAGGAATTACTTGAGCACATTTATGTTGGATTCTTTTATTATAAGACAACAGATCCCTGTCATGAAAACACAGAAAAAAGCCTTGTGACCTCCTTAGTGAGATAAATATGCATACGGCCATATGCGGTTCAAACCCACCAACCACTCCTCGGAAGGAAGACGGGGCAATCTATTTCCGTAGTGATACTGCCTCGGAAACCCAAGGAGGGGTCGCTATGAGTCGGGTCTGACTCAACAGCATATAACAACATGTAAGCAGGCAGAAAAGCCACCTCTAATTTTAACAATTACACTTTGAAACCCACAATCTAATGTAGCTAATTCTCCAAGTTACATGGGCCAAGAGACAGCTCTTTAAAGTGAGCGATGTGCCATCTCTTAGTTGCCTTTGGGCACCTGATCATTCAGTGTCACTCAGTTCCAGGATCTCTGCTTTCCTATTACACTTAGAATCTTGCGACTTACAAAACTGAAAAACAATCACACCTGTTCATAGAAGGAGCTGAAGTTGTAAGCTTAAAGGCAAAAAAAAATTCACATAAGAGCAAAACATTTCCAGCACTGAAAAAATTTGGGTTTTTGTGTGTTTACACTAGTGACTTTAATAAAACTAGATGTGTTTTTCATTCATTTTATAAAGAATTATAATTAGGTAAATAAAATAATACTATGGTGAGAAGACAGACATATAAAGCCACATATCACACTAAATTCTTCAGTATGCATAGACTAGTTGGCTTTGGATACTTCTAAATGTTTTAACTTCCGGTTCCTTCTTTGCTCTGGACCCCTATTTCTCAGGAATATCACAGGGATGTGCCGGATGTCTATCTAATGCTGTAAGTCTAAACTCAGTCACCACTCTCTCTCCAACACTATGGCAATAGCTTTGTTTCCCACTGCAAAAACAAGTTTCCAGTGTTTTAAACAGAGAAAAAATAACAGTAGCAATTTTCTTCCTTTACCATTCTGACATGAGCCCAACCACTGCACCTTTTCCCCTAGGATCATTCACAGTGGAGGTGGATGAGCCTGCCTCGGTATCACAGAACTACCAGGTGGCATTATGGAAGCTTCATCAGAGAGAGGGAATGTGCCAATTCCTTATTTACAGAAACTCACATAACTCCACAGCCATGCTTCACTGATGCCTTTCCCAGTTATATGTCCCCTATACACCTTTCAGTTACATGCTTATTATCCTAGAATTCTCTAGTTTCAATTGCCTTACCAGTTCTTTACAAATTACCTATGCCTATCTGCACTTACATGTTTGGAAGAAACGAAAATGATTACCCCCTTAGTCCCAAAGGAATAATTTGTGTCAAATTGCCTTATTAGTTAAAAATAGACACATTGAATTAAGTAGTATGATATTCATATGTCACTAACATTTTATGAGATGGGGCAACTTATACTTTGGTACTGCATATGTTTAGAAATCAAAAGTTACAGTTTATGAATAGTGTTAAGGAAGAGTAATTTAAAAACCAAGTTCCAAAGAACATCCTGTTTAATTATCTTGCCCTCACACTCTCTGTTTCACTAAACAGGCTGTCTTCCTTGGAGCTGTAGGCACTGCTCAGAAGTCCTACTTGCATCTCAGTTTGCAAAACACAAGTTTTGTTAGCAAATTCTCTTCCCTGTAAAACTTAGCTATGAAATGATGGTATATATTTTTTCCAGATATTTTTATGAAAACATTTTTGTAACTGTACAATAAAGTCCAGTTGCACTTAACTAGCTCTGATTTCTTAAAGTAAACAAATGCTTTTCAACCTTGTATACTTCAAAATTTTTTAACAAAAAAATTTCAGCACTTTCCGCATAACAAATATAAAAGTAAATAAAAGTCAATATGTACAAATAATTTCTTGGATCATTCAGACCCCACTTAGGTGCTATAAAAATATAAATATAAATGTGTCCATTATCAATGCATCCTTATTCCAAATTTGTTCTCTAAATTTTTCGGGAGAACAATACTTCATCTCAAATCAAGAAATGAGAAATAGCAGTATCTTTTGAGCTGCAATTTCCCCGTCTGTGAGCAGGAGGGGAGAACAATTTCTGATGTCTTTTACAGTTCTGATGCTTTGTACCCTTACAAACATAAAGTTCTCTTAATATTTGAAAGGTTTGGGATGAAGGAGAAACTATCAAGTTACAAAATAAATGATGAGCTTAACTTTAGTTTAAAAATTACTCTTACCCACCTTTAAGGTTTGGGAGTCTGGGACACTTTGTAGGTACCTGTCCACCTTTGAAAACCACCGATTGTTTTGTTAATACAAATTACTGAAGGCATTTCTGTTTTGAACAAAAGCTTTCCTATTTTCAAGTAATTTTTTGCTCTCAATTTGAACCTTCTGTAAGGGCAATTAACACATTACCTGCAAGTCTGATGTAAATTGCAAAGAGTAGAGAGTCCCTGTTTTAGAGATTAGAATTTCCTAATCCCTCATTCTGCCGTATTAGCAAAAATTACAAATAAAAAAGGATTAGTGCTTTTCTATAGGATGGTATTCTGATCAGAGAATGGAAAAGCTCAGAATAATACTGAAGAGAGAGAGAGAACTTTACAAAACCTTTTTCTCTGAGATTTCCAATGTTAAAAGGAACACTTCTGCTATAGTAACACATACTTATTTTAAAATAGATTTCTATATGGAGGAAATTCTATGAAGCATTAACAAAGTATCCAAAAATTTTTCAAGGCTTTCATTCTTTATAATCTACACATAAGTTTATTTAATAAACATATAAGTCACAACCAAAAGCCAAAATGCAAAGTTCCCATCAGTTAGACATGTTAACCTCTAAAGGCCTTCTGATTTTCCCATCTTCTAAATCAGGGCTTAGCAAACCTTTTCTGTAAAGGGCCAGACAGCAACTATTTCAAGCTTTGCAGGTCACACAGTGTCTGTTGCCACTACTCAGCTCTGCCCGTACAGCATGGAAGCAACCGTCGACAATGTGTAAAAAAACGATTATGGCCATGTTCCAATAAAACCAATGACGGACACTGAAATTTGAGATTCATATAATTTTCTTGTGGCATGAATAAGTCTTTGCTTTTTTTCCCCCAACCATTTAAGAATTAAACCATTCTCGGCTAACAGGCTGTATGAAAACAGGCAGGCCAGATTTGGGCCACAGACCAGTTTGCCTTCAAAGTAACAGCTTAAAAGGACAGTCACCTCAAAATTTCAGATCATTGCTTCCCAGAGATTTAAAGTGATTATTCACATCTTCATCAGTAACTTCTTTTAGATCAGCTGGTTTCCACTTCGGGTTCTGGTCTTTATCTATTAAAACTGTCAAGACATAGATGTTAACACATTTCTTCCTAGTATTACTAGATTTTAATTACTGAATTGACAGAAACTACATTTTTTGTTCTGTTATACATAAAGTGCCTATGAGTTAGTTAAGAGATGACTCAACAGCAACTAACAACCACCTTTTATTAGGCATATTTTTCTATAGCACATTTTTTTTTTCCATAAATTTTTATACATGTCCAATTTTTCTTCTAAATTAAATCCCAAAGAACTTGGATTCTTGGATAGCAATATATTGATGATGACTAGTATGGATTATTTTCTAACTGAAGCCTGATGTCTCTAGCTTTAATAAAGCTTACTGAACTAATCCAGCGATTTAAGCATTAGGGGTTTTTTTTTTTCCCCCTTCAAACAAAATCAAAATAGTAAATCTCCATGATAAAACAGCCAAAGCCGGAGCTGGTGTGGTTTAAGGGGAAGGCAGGGAAAGGTGGAGGGCCCAGATCTTTGAGTTTGGGGAGGAGAATTAAAGGCTCAAGGTGGAGGGAGGGGTGACGTGTGCCGGGTTAAATGTGGAGACTGCAGTTCTGCTGAATCGTCTGACTCAGCAGCTCTGAATTAAAAAGCCAGACCACCTTCAGGTTATCATCAAACCCTCTAGGCTCTCCTATTTCAATGCAGTCATCACTTAATGTAGCCACAGCATCCCCACAGGATTATGAGGCAATCTCTAACCTCTCCTAAAGAGGAGGGAGAATATCAATTTCCTGATTCTGATACTGGAGGAAACTTGGAGAGGGCATGCAGGATCTCTTCTATATTTTACAACTGCTTGTAAATCTAAAATTATCTCAAAAATTTTTTTATGTTTTCAAGAGGGAAGAAGGCTACAGTTGGTATGGTTGAAGTAGGGAATTTCAATCATACTTAAAAGTGTGCATAAATCTTGTGAAGAATGAAAATATTTAAACACACAAACTCTACAGTGAACTCAAAAACCTTAATTTAGCATAAAAGGCTAAATAAATAGTTGAAAGAAGCAGTCTGGGAGCCAAACAAGACAGAAGCCTGCCTTGGAAGGTAATATGTTCCCTATCACTGGGCATTTTCAAGACCTGGCTGCCTAACTGTGGGCTTCTAGTAGCAGATCGATCAGTGGTGATATTAAACACTGATTTTCTGATCCCTGCCAATTTGAAAGTTTTATCTTCCTTGGATAGGGTAAACAAAGAACAATCCTGGGACAAGGATCTCTTCCTCTTTAAATCTTCTGGCCAAACCTATCTACCTCCTTGAGATTTCACTGAAGGGCACAAGAAAATGTTAACCAATCTGTTACTTTATTTTAAACTTTTTTTAAACCTAGAATAGGTGTATGTAACTTAAAAATCACATCATATGGGCAGCTTAGGTTTTTCAGAAGGTCTCAAAACATACCCACTCTAATTCCATTATGGGGCAATCTACTTCCGTAGTAATACTGCCTCAGAAACCCAAGGAGGGGTCGCTATGAGTTGGATGCAACTCGACAGCACATAACAACAACAATAGGTCTCTAGGTCTGCTGAGATAATCCGTTTTTATTCTAAAATCAGGAAGAAGTTAATTCTAGATGTTGGAGTAAGACTTAACAGCCATTTCCCTAATTTGCTAATGCATTTTATCTAATTTGCTAACATTTTTATAATTTGCAAACTGTTGCAAATATTTGATTATAGAAGAACACTGAACAGCTTTACCCAGAATAGATACCACTTTCTGAATCAAGAGACTATGCTAAAAGATGAGGCAATATACATTCTCTTCATTAAAAAGCAGCTTGATAAAGCACCTGCTTTATGAGTTAGGACTTTGACTTTTGCTTTGATGCTGGCTTCAACCCTTTTTCCTTAAAATAACTGACTGTTCATCCAAAAGCAATGCTTTAAAAAAAAAAAGGTTTATGAATGTTTATGAATGGCTGTTATATAATGACCTCCAAATACTGTACTTTAGCAACATAACCCTCTAAAATTAGAGGTCTAGGCTCTGATCCACACACAGGAAGGATCTGCAGGGAATTAGCAGGAAACATATTTGATTTCAATAAAATATATAGCCATCTCCTCAGATTCAACTTCATGGTCCTCTTAAAAGTTCTGAACCCAGTGCTTACTTCTGATGCCTGTATATCATGCAAGAAATTCCAAGAATTCTAAAACTGTAGTGATTGGTGTTTATCACAGATTAGAGCATATAGAACATAACCCTTTTTATTCAGGTAAAAACATGTCTCCATAGTCATTAAAGTGGTTAATAAAAACATAATTAGATATGCAAAATACATGCAAAGGAAAAAACTCATTTTATACCTTAGAAATAAGTCATTATAAGAAGAGATTACACATAAAAAGGAATTACTGCATTTTTGCTTAAAAAAAATACCATTACACCTGTTCTTCCTAAATATGCTGACTTTGGAGACGGTAAGCAAAAATGGAAAGTACTGATAAGAATATTAACAGATGGCAATAATTATGCCATATGGTTTCTAGACAGGAATGTTTAAGTGCTCTGATACAGGAAAGAAGGTGGATGGTAGGACCAGGCCACTGCTGGGACTGTGCCCCGCAGTACAAAAGAGGGAGAAAAGGACGGGGAGGCGCTTAGGGCATTTTGCAAGGGGAATGTTCAAAGGCTTCAGCAGCATAATAAATTTACAAGCTCATGCTGCACTTATCAGAGGTAGTCCATGTGACTTTAGGAGCAAGGTTACTTCTTATATGTAAATTAGGGAGCAGCAGCCTGGCTATAAGGAGGTCTGGTGATGTAGTGGTTACAGCACTCGCTGCTAACCAAAAGGTCAGCGGTTCCAACCCACTAGCAATTCTGCAGGAAAGAGATGGGGCAGTCTGCTTTCATAAAGTTTTACAGCCTTGGAAACTACGGGGCACTGCCCTATAGGGTTGCTATGACTCAGAATCAACTCAACAGCAGTTGGTTTGATTTAGTTTGGCCAGATTATATTAATTTTTTTTAACAGTTTTAGTTTCAAAGACTGACCTTCCTTTCTATCCCAATTGGTAATATGAAAACACAAAACACTTTGTAATATTTATAAAAGTTAGATGTTCACTTTAATATAATAATCATTTCTGATTACGAGTATACAACCTCAAATCCTATTTTCATTAATAGCCATGAAGAAAACTCAGCTATTTGTCACTTACCTGATCTAACGCCTTCCTGAAAATCATGACCTTCCTGAAAGAAAATTGAGACTTAAATGGGGTAATTTCCAGGCAACCTGATTCCTGGTGGTCTTCATTCCACCTAGCTCAGCCCATGACCACAATCTGAACCATGACATTCAGAGATTGCACCACCTCTGAAAACCCACTCTCTTATTACCACTTCCTGTTCTTACTTGCTCAAGTGCTTCCACTGCTGCAAATCCTTGACCTTACCAGAGCCCACTGATCCTACCACTTTCTCACCATCTGTGCTGGCTTCACATGCTTTGTGGTCTAGCCCAATTTCCCCAGTGCATTGATACAGTCACTCTCCCTTGAATACACCTTCATCTCCTTCAAACTGTTTTCCCTCCTTTATATTGGCCTGGTAAAACCCCATCACCAGCTGAATTTACTGACTGACTAAATCTCACTGCAGCTAAATCTCACTGCAGAAAAATCACACAACTCTTAGGATTTTAATTTAAAATCCATGACCCCAAACCTCAAACAGGCATGGAGAACTATCCAACAATCCATGCTCTCTCTCTACTCCCATAGATAATGACTTAAACTGTCTTCTGTCTCATCAGCCTCTTCCCTCAGCATATGTTACTCAATAAATTCTCATCAATGACCTATTTCACTGAAAAAATGAGAGGCCCTCAGACACAGACATCCTTGTCTTGCTACCATTAAGCCTAAAGCTCACCTGCATTTATCTGTACCTGTCTTCCCTTTCACGACAACAGAAGAAACTATCCCCCTTTGTAAAGCCAGTCCTCCCCTACATTCCAATTCACATCCCTTCTTGACTTCTCGAGGACTCTGCTTGAGAAGGTTCATACTTCTTTCTTCCTGATATCAATGCAGGCAGTATAACGTAGTGGCTAATGGTTAAGGCACTTGAAAGGATTGAACCACCAGCCACTCCTTGGAAGGAAGATGGGGCAATCTACTTCCATAGTGATACTGCCTCGGAAACCCAAGGAGGGGTCGCTATGAGTCAAATCGACTCAATGGCAGTGAGTTTGTTTGGCTTTGAGTGCATGAAAACTTCCTGGGTTCATATCTTGGTCCTCCCACTGCCACTGAGTCAATTCTGACTCATAGTGACCCTATAGGACAGAAAAGAACTGCCTCCCTTGCCCCACTCCCCCCCCCCCCCAGGGTTTCCAAGGCTGTAAATCATTATGGAAGCAGACTGCCTCATTTTTCTCCCACGGAGCAGCTGGTGGGCTAAAACCAACGACCTTATGGTTAGAAGCTGAATGTTTTTAAGCACTGCACTACCAAAGTGCCTTTTTTTTTGGTTCTACTACATAGTAGCTGTAGGAGTTCTGGTAGCATAGTGGCTACGACACTTGACTACTAATCAGAAGGCTGGCGGTTCAAACCCACCAGCCACTCCTCTGAAGGAAGATGGGGCAATCTACTTCCGTAGTGATACTGCCTCAGAAACCCAAGGAGGGGTCGCTATGAGTCGGGTCTGACTCCACGACACATAACAAAAACAACAACATAGTAGCTATGACTTTGGGTAAGTTCTCTCAACCAGTTTCCTCATGTATGAAATAGCAGTATCAATATATACATATAAGATTATTTTAGCCCATGTCCCAAGCACAGTGCCTGACAATTAGTAAAAATTCAGTAAACATTAACTATCCTTAGGATCATCAATATAATCTTTCTTCCCTACTGCCATTATTCCTAATCACTTGTAAACATGTTCGTATTCCATCTTATAAAATAAAATAAAAACCTTCCTTGATTCCACAGTTCCAGCTTCAACCCCATTTCTGTTTCAAGAAGAAAGAGTTGTTGTGTACACCAGCTCCACGTCCTCACATCCCATTTACTCATTTCCTTGCCAACTTACTACACTGTAACTTCTGTCCCCACCACACCGCTGAAACAACTTGCCAAAATCACCCCTAGTTTTGAGGTTGCCAAATTCAAAGGGTACCTCTGTCCTAAACTACTAGATCCTGTGACGGCAGTCAGTGCTGTTCCTTACCCCCTCCATGTTGAAACTCTCTCCCTCGCTTGCTCATGTGATACCATTGTCTTCTGGTTCTCCTACCACTCTGGCCTCTGGCCTTTACTTTTTCTCACTGTTGTTTCTCCTCTAGGCCACCTTGAAGTACTGGAGTTCTCAGGGCTCAAAATCTCAAATGTGTTTTATTTTTCTTCTACATGATCACATCCATTCTAGGCTCTATACATCAATTGTCTGGTGATCAATTCTATGAAAATATAACACCACTCTTCTGCTCAAAACCATCCAGTGGCTCCCCAGTTTACTCAGAATAAAAGCCAAAGTCCTTGTATAGATAGTTGAGGTCCTATGTGCTCTGCGCAGCTCCTTCTACTCTGTTGTTACCTCTGACCTCGTCTTTCACCTAGCTCCACTCCGTCCTCATGGCCTCCTGGCCCTAGAACAGAAAGGCACACTGCAACTCACAACCTGTAGTTCCCTCTGCCTATGGTGCTCTGCCTCACTTCTTCCAAGTCTTCACTCAAAGAACATCTCAGTGAGGTTTCCTCTCATCATCCTATCCACAGTTTCAGTCCTCTGTCTCCCTATATTTTAACCCACATACTATATTCCACACCCTCCTCCTCTGCTTTATGTTTTCTTCTTAGGACTTACAATGCATATATTCTATATTTTACATACTTATTTATGGTGTGTCTTCCCAACTATAAAGTAAGTTCCATGAAGGCAGGGATTTTTTTTTTTTCCACCTATGCATTCCTGGCACCTCTAGCAGCAGTCCGTGCCCGGTACATAGTAAGCACTCTTATTTTTTAAGTAAATAAATGTCTTCAAAGCTTTAAAAAGTAATTGGTGCTAATGTCTTTCAGACTTAAACCCCTAACCCAAATCTGATTCCTAAATACATTATTTCCCTCATATCCATTACTGAGTCTTATTCTGTCTTCTACATCTGTCTCATATTTATTCTCTCCATCTCTACCCTAGTCTAAGGGATTATTATTTTCCACCTGGATTATTGCAATAAACTCTTAGCTGGTCTATGCATCTATTTGAAGCCCCTCTGTCTCTATCTCCATTCAGCAGCAATAATTGCCTTCTTACAACAAAGCAGATGAAACTGGAATCACTTCATTCCTGTTTAAAACCCGAGAGGTTATTAACATACTCATTTCTCATCCTTCAGATTACAGATGAGGTGACATCTCAGAGATGCTTCCCTGATCTACTTACTTAAAAAGCAGGTTTCCCTTTGCCTTCTACAACCCCTCCTATCCCTGTGTCATTCTTTTCTATGACTAATTCCATATGTTTCCTTTAGAGCACTTATCACAATTTGTAATTGTTTTACTTGATCTTTGTAGTTTCAGTACGTTACAAATTCCATGAGAACAAAGACTATGTATTTTTATTCAACATAACTAATACTTAGCACAGTTCTTGGCATATAGCTGATGTTTTTGCTGAGAAACTGAAGGAAGAAATCAATCAATCCACATAATGAACAAAACGTACTGTGAGAAATATGCACTGTGTGAGGTATACACAGTAATGGCCAGGAGTGCAGGCCCTGGAGTGAGACTGTCTCGTTTCACATGCCATTTCTCAGCCACTCACACCATAAGCAGGTTACTTCTTCTCTAAGCCAGTTTCCTCATCTTGGAGATAGTAATAGTACCACTCCTTCAAGAGTAAGATGTAATACAGAGAATGCATGCAAAGTGCATATCGTAGTACCTACTCATAGAAACACTCAATAAACCTTAGCTGCTATTTATAATAAGTGACTTTAGATATGGTCAACAGAGTTTTTTTTCTGGTAAAATGAACTATTTTGAATATCTTAATAACTATCTGAAGATATTAAAGGCCATTGTTATTGTTGTTAGGTGCTGTCAAGTTGTCTCTGACTCATAGTGACCCTATGCACAGCAGAATGAAATGCCACCCAGTCCCGCACCAGTGCCACGATCCTTCCTATATTTGAGCCCATCACCGCAGCCACTGTGTCAATCCATCTCGTTGAGGGTCTTCCCCTCTTTCGTCGACCCTCCACCTTACCAAGCATGGCATCCTTCTCCAGGAAATGGTCCCTTCTGACAACATGACCAAAGTAGGTGAGACGAAGCCTGGCTATTCTCACTTCCAAGGAGCATTCTGGCTGCATTTCCTCCAGGACAGATTTGTTAGTTCTTTTAGCAGTCCATGGTACATTCAGCATTCTTTACCAGCACCACAACTCAAAAGCATCAATTCTTCTTCAGTCTTCCTTATTCATTATTCATTGTCCAGCTCTCACATGCACATGAGATGATTGAAAATATCACAGCTTGTGTCAGGCACACCTTAGTCCTCAAGGTGACATCTTTCCTCCTCAGCACTTGAAAGAGGTCTCTTGCAGCCGACTTCTCCCATGCTATATGTTATCTGATGTCCTGACTGCTGTTTCCATTGGCATTGATTGTAGAACAAAGCAATGTGAAGTCTGACAACTTCAGCCTTTTGTCCATTTATCGTTATGCTGCTTATAGGTTCAGCTGGGAGGATTTTTGTTTTCTTTATATTGAGATGTAATCCATACTGCAGACTGTATTCTTCAATCTTCATCAGTAAGTGCTTCAAGTCATCCTTGCTTTCAGCAAAGTTGTGTCATCAGTGTATCATAGGTTGTTAATGAGTATTCCTCCAATCTTGATGCCACGTTCTTCTTGATATAGTCCAGCTTCTCAGATTATTTGCTCAGCATACAGATTGAATAAGTATGGTGAAAGGATACAACCCTGATGCACTCCCTTCTTGATTTTAAACCATGCAGTGTTCCCTTTTTCTGTTCCAATGACAGCCTCCTGGTCTAAGTACAGGTTTCTCATGAGTATAATTAAGTGTTCTGGAATTCCCATTCTTCTCAATGTTATCCACAATTTGTTATGATCCATACAACTGAATGTTTTTGCATAGTTAATAAAACACAAGTAAACATCTTTCTGGTATTCTTTGCTTTCAGCCAAGATCCATCTGATATCAGAAATGATACCCCTTGTTCCACATCCTCTTCTGAATCTAGCTTGCACCTCTGGAGGTTCTCTGTCAATATACTGCTGCAATCATTTTTGAATTATCTTCAATAAGATTTTACTTGTGTGTGATATTAATGATATTGTTCTATAATTTCCACATTCTGTGGGATGATCTTTCTTTGGAATAGGTACAAATATGGATCTCTTCCCATCAGTTGGCCAGGTAGCTGTCTTCCAAATCTCTTGGCATAACCAAGTGAGTGCCTCCAGTGGGCCAACCATTTGTTGAAACATCTCAATGGGTATTCCATCAATTCCTGGAGCCTTGTTCTTCGCCAATTCCTTCAGTGAAGCTTTGACTTCTTGCTTCAGTATCATTGGTTCTTGATCATATGCCACTTCCTGAAATGGATGAAGATCTACCAGTTCTTTTTGGTATAGTAACTCTGTGTATTCCTTCCATCTTCTTTTGATGCTTCCTGAATCATTCAATGTTTTGCCCATAGAATCTTTCAATATTGCAACTCGAGGCTTAATTTTTTTCCTTAGATTTTTCAGCTTGAGAAATGCTGAGCATGTTCTTCCCTTTAGGTTTTCTAACTCAAAGTCTTTGAACATTTCATTATAGTACTTGGCTTTGTCTTCTCAAGCTGCTTTTTGAAATCTTTGGTTCAACTCTTTTATCTCGTCATTTCTTCCAGTTGCTTTGGCTACTCTTTGCTCAAGGGCAAGTTTCACAGTCTCTTCTGCCATCCATTTTGGTCTTTTCTCCTTTTCTAGTCTTTTTAATGACCTCTTGCTTTCTTCATGGATGATGTTCTTGATGTCATCCCACAATTCTTCTGGTTTTCAGTCACTGGTGTTCAATGCATCAAATCCATTTTTAGAGGTCTCTAAATTCAGGAGGGATATATTCAAGATCATAATTTGGCTCTTGTGGACTTGTTTTAGTTGTCTTCAACTTCAACTTGAACTTGCATATGAGCAGATGATGGTCTGTTGCACAATCAGCTCCTGGCTTGGTTTTGGCTGAAGATATTGAGCTTTTCCATCGCTTCTTGCCACAGATTTAGTCAATCTGATTTCGGTGTATTCCATCTGGCAAAGTTCACGTGTATAACCATTGTTTCTGTTGTTGAAAAAAGGTATTTGTAATGAATAAGTCATTGGTCTTGCAAAGTTCTACCATGAGATCTCCAGCATTATTTCTGTCACCAACACCAAATTTCCAACTACCAGTGATTCTTCTTTGTTTCCAACTTTTGCATTCCTATCACTACTGATAATTAACACATCTTGATTGTATGTTTGGTCAATTTCAGACTGCAGAAGTTGATAAAAATCTTCAATTTCCTCATCTTTGGCTTTGGTGGTTGCTGCATAAATTAGAATAATAGTCATATTAACTGGTCTTCCTTGTAGGCATATGGATATTAACCTATCACTGACAGCATTGTACTTTCAGGACAGATCTTGAAACATCCTTTGTGGTGATGAATGCCATGTCATTCCTCTTCAAATTGTCATTCCTGGCATAGTAGATCGTATGGTTGTCTGATTCACAATGGCCAAAATCAGTCCATTTCAGCTCACTAATGCCTATGATAATCAATCTTTATGCATTCCATTTTCTTTTTAACAACTTCCAATTTTCCTAGATTCATACTTTGTACATTCCATGTTCTGATTATTAATGGATGTTTGTAGCTGTTTCTTCTCAATTTGAGTCGTGGCCCATCAGCAAATGGAGGTCTCAAAAGCTTTACTTTATCCATATCAGTAAGGTTGGTTCTACTCTGATGATGCAGCTCTTTCCCAGTCGTATTTTGAGAGCCTTCCAACCTAAGTGGCTCGTCTTCCAGTGCTGTATCAGACCATGCTTCCGGGCTATTCATAAAGTTGCCTAGTACTGTAACAGACAGTGTTTCTCTGCTATTCACAAGGTTTTCTCTGGCCTATTCTTTGAGAAGTGGATGACTTCTTCCTTCTTACTACTCTATCTCAGTCTGCAAGCCACACTGATACCTGTGCACCTGTGCAACTCCACTGGCATTTGAAACACTGGTAGCACAGCCTCATGCCTCATAGCAACACATCAGCACATTATGGCAAACCGACAGAGAAGTTTGTGTCCTTTAGCTGTTTGAAACCTCTCCACCCTCCCCTTACCTGGATTCCTGCTGCTTGCTCACTCTGCCTTGGTCCTCCTGGCTTTCCTTCCTTTCTCCCACTTTCCTGCCACTTGGGTGTGGGGCCCAGGTCCCTCCCCTTACCTGGATCCCTCTGCCACTTGCTTGCTCTGTCCTGGTCCCCCTGGCTTTCCTTTCCTTTTCCCCGCTTTCCTGTCCATTAGGCATGTACTATTCTTTGGTTTCTGAATATTCCTTTTAGGTCACAAAGGAGTTCTGGTAGCTTAGTGGTTAAAGCATTTGGCTGCTAACCAAAGGTCAGTGTTTTGAACCCACCACCTGCTCCCCAGGAGAAAGATGAGGCAGTCTGCTTCTGTAAAGATTTACAGCCTTGGACACCCTATGGGAGCAGTTCTGTCCTATAGGCTCACTTATGAATCAGAACTGACTAGATGGCAAGGGGTTTGTGGTTTTGTTTTGTTTTTTTTTTCCTTCAGTTTTAGGTCACAAATCTATCAATCTAAATAAAACTGAATTTATTCATTGCATAAAATGATGTTTCTTAAGGACCCTCTGAACATTAACACTAAACAGATGATTACGCCTTTAAAGAGTTTATTATCTAGAAGAAGAAATCACTATTACTCTGAAATGTTACATGAAAATTAATAATATTGCACATGATTACTGGCTACTTTAAATGTATTTACAATGGTATGTTCAATGTTAATCTGTTAATTAAAACATTTAACAAATAACTTCTATTTGTATATTTATTGTAGGTCAAGCATTATACTAAGAATTTTATATATGGATTCATTGAATCCTTACAAGTACTTGTAAGAAATATTCCTTATTTTACCGATAAGGGGATTCAGATTTAGAGTTGCCACATCTTGCCCAAGATCACAAAGATCATGCCTAAAAATGGTTAATATCTATTCTGAATTCTGGATGCAAATATAACTGCTGGTTTCATAAAAGCTTAGTATACCAGTCTGGGGAGCAGTATTTCCACACAGCTAAAGCTAGCTGCCTGTTGTGCTTTCATAGAGCAGATTTACATGTAGTTTTAATTTTCTTCTTTATTCTTTTCTATATTTTACATGTTCTATAATAAACACATGCATTACTTTTATAACTAGAAAACAACAACAACAAAAAATCTTACCATGCAAGCTTGACTCATCCGATATTCCATAGTTAATACCTCCTGCAATGTCTTTGAAGACCCCTCTATGAGTTGCTTTAGTGTTATCTTTAGGGATGTTGGAGACATTTTATTAATGATCTATTGAGGAAAAAAGATTACTAGCTTTAGTCCAACAGTTATTTGTTTATAGTAAACTAGCTGACTTTTCTACACAAATCACATTAAAACATGCTCTGTAACAGCACTTTCATATGCCAAAGCCTCATAAAAGACCTGTAGGCTAGTCTTGACAAAGCATCAAACAAGTTTTTTAATTTGTTACAAAAAGAAAACAGATTATTCCTTAAGCAGAATAAATTCTGTTCCTATAACTTAAGGAATAATAAAATGAATCTGCATTTGCAGGTTGCTTGGCATAAATTATGATTCCAACTAGGTACAAAAACAGCAATTACACTTGAATAAAATTAATACCTATCTTACAAACTGCTAATACATTACAGAGGACATATCACTCACTATACAATATAAAGAAGGCAAGGGAGCAGAAATACAGTGGCTCTCCCTTCCCACATTATGACTTTAGAGAAATGTCTTATCTGGAATAGTATCTTCATCTATAAATAAACTAATTTACCTTGGAAGAAAGGAGAGAAAACAATTCAAGTTACTGTGGCACACTCTATTTGTTCCTTTTTTAAAAAAAAAATATTTTGTTGTTATTGAGAATATACCCAGCAACATACATCAATTTAACCCTTTCTATATGTGCAAGTCAGTGACAATGACTACATTCTTCAAGTTGTACAACCATTCTCACTCTCCTATTCTGAGTTGTTTAAACATTTAATAGAATAAGAATTTCAGACCTCACTCCTTGGCTACACCCTTTTCAATTCAAAGATGCTATTTCTAGGGTTCCAATACATGTGTAAGACTGGGACCACAAAGGCTCCTGCAGTAGGCCCATTGCATATTGTGTATGTGTAATGCCTGTCGTCTCCTCTGTAACTGCAATATATAGTTTTCAGGCTCTGTTGTTTAATGACTATCTTAAGGGTTTAAACTTCACTTTTTGAGTTCAAAGAATTCCTCAGCTCAAGATTCTAAAGAAAACCTATAGCAATAAACACTTTTCACAGTGAAATATTAAAAGCTTCCCCAGAGATTGGGAATAAGACAAGGATGACAGCTACCATTAAAGCTGTTGTGGGGGGGGGCAGTTCGAGTAAGATGGCAGAATAGGCAGACAAACTACACAGACCCTCTTCAACAAAGAAAATGAGCACCAGTTAACACAGATACAGAAGATAATCCTGGAACCCTGAGCTTTGAAAGGAAGGATACAGAAGTGGACTAAACTCCAACTACTAGAAGAACCTGTATGAAAACACTGAAAAAGGAGACTGCGGTGTAGTAAATTACTTAATGTGGCTTTTCTACCCATAAGTCTTTGTAAACTCCAAGGTGGGATTTTCTATGAGCAACTGAGGAACTCCTGGTTGCTGAAGTTGTCCACCTGGAGTATTTCTGTTGGGAGTGGCACAAAACAATGTTCTGGGAGGTGCCCACTCTCTCTCAGGTGCTTAGAATTCTGATGCTATGATTGGCTAGTTTGGCCACTCTGCCAAGCTCAAAAGGAGGCCTCCTGGAAGCAAACTCTCTCTGATTGCTGGCTGAGGAAGACGTGCTGCTGAAAGAGACACACGCCCCTGAAAGAGACACGTGCTGCTGGGAAAGAGACGCAAGAGACATGCATTGCTGACTGAAACACTGAGGGACCAGCACTGCTGGGAAAGAGACTGTGAGAGACTCTTGGCTGAGGGACGGTGGGCTGGGAGAGAGACTGGGCGTTCTTCCTGAACTTGAGTTATAGCCTGGTGCTTCCCTAATAAACCCTGTAATCTGTGAGTTCTGTGTGACTGCAGCGAATTATCGAACCCAGGAGAGAGGTGGTGGGTGCTTTGGGAGGAACGGCTGGAGAAAGGGCTGGAGGGAGGCAGCATGTCTGGTCTGGCAGGAATAGGCCTTGGGTTACTGCTAGTAATCCTGTCTTCCTCTTGCGGGATTAGAGGAGGTCAGAATATGTGTCCTCCTTGTCCTTTTTGCAGAGACATACAGAACTGCAGTCTGTTAGCAATCCTGACGGCACAGACAGCTTGGATATTGCCAAGTGGTGTTAGGACCTAAGAATTAACCAAAACTTTGGCCCTGCTAGCCAGGAGCTGCATGGAGGACTGCACTGGTGGTTGGTGGATAAATGGAGAAGCAGTGAAAAGGGAGATGGGGTGAGCTGTGGACTTTTGGCTGTCCAGAGGGCACAGACATTTTGAATGTTTACAAGCAGTTCAATCATTTTGGGTATTTAAAGCAATAGTGTTCTCTCAGATTCCAAAGACCTAGAAATAGGCTCCACTTGCCAGGAACTGCAAGGACATTCTGAACATGAATGACTGGAAAGTTACCAGAGATCTAAATACAACAACATCACAATGTCTCAAATACAAGAGACCATCACAGTCCACACAAAGAAGCAAGATAAAGCAGGTGAAACAAGGGACCAGGATAGAGACCTAGAACACATCTCCTTGAGGAAGCAGCAAGACTGGAACTCCCTAATAAGGAGTTCAAAAGAATTATACTTAGGTATCTTCAAAGGACTGAGAGACAGATCAAGGAAAACATGGAAAAAATCCTAGAAGAATTTCAGAAGACAATACAAGAACAAAATGACAAAATAAATGAAAAATTAGAAATGATACAAAATCTACAAATAGAAATCCAGAAGATCAATACTAAATTTTCAGAAACAGATAATACATTGAAAGGGCAAAGGAGTAGAATCAAATCAATGGAAGACAGAATTAATGAAATTGAAGACAAATACCTGAATACTTCTTTGGAAAGGGATCAATCAGAAAAAAGATCAAAGCAAAATGAAGAAAGTCTAAGGTTCATGTGGGATACCATCAAAGGGAATAACCTACATGCAATCAGAATTCCAGAACAGGAAGAGAAAAAGAAAATCACTGAGAAAATTGTCCTAGATTTGTTGGAAGAGAATTTCACTGATATGATGAAAGATGAAAATATATCCATTCAGGAAGTCCAACAAACATCAAACAAGACAGACCCCAAAAGAAAATCACCCAGACACATCATCATCAAACTCATCAAAACCAAAGACAAAGAAAGAATCCTGAAAGCAGCACAGAGAACACGAAAAGTTACCTACAAAAGGCAACCAACAAGACTAAGCTTTGATTTCTCAGCAGAAACCATGTAGGCAAGAAGGCAATGGAATGGTATATATAAAACCCTGGAAAATAAAAATTTCCAACCAAGAGTTATATACCCAGCAAAACTGTCCCTCAAATATGATGGTGAAATTAGGAGATTTCCAGATAAGCAGAAACTAAGGGAATCTGTTAAAACCAAATCAATATCACAAGAGATACTAAAGGGAGTTCTTTGAACACAGAATAAATAATAGCAAACAACAACCAACCATTAATATACAAGATGACATAACCCAGAAACCAACACAGCTATGGAAGTATCCAAAGTAAAATAAGATTACAAGATTGTAAACAGGAAAGCAGAGACATCAATTGGCAAATGAGGACTACAAACCAAGAAGAGGGAAAAAAAACAATGTAATTACAGAATTTCTAAATAGTGAAGAAGTCAAGAGAGTTGCAAGATAGAATGGACTGTTCTAAACTTAGGGAGAAAATTATAAATCAAGATAACCTCAAAGAAAAATGATAAGTCTTCATATCACAATAAAAAAGAGGATAAGCCCAAATATTTACCAAATACTAAAATAACAGGAGCTCTGGTAGCATAGTGCCTAAGGCACTTGACTGCTAACCAGAAGGCTGGAGGTTCAAACCCACCAGCCACTCCTCAGAAGGAAGGTTGGGCAATCTACTCTTGTAGTGATACTGCTTTGGCAACCCAAGGAGGGGTCGCTGAGTTGGGCCGACTCAATGGCACATAACAACAATAACAACAAAATAACAGCAACAAAGGAAATGATAACATGATTTATAAACATAATGAGCTCACCATAGAAAATTACATGGAACAAAGAAACCAGGAACACCATGAAAAAACACTTAATAAAATGGCACTAACCAATTCATACATCTTGATAAATACACTGAATGTCAATGGATTAAATGCAACACTCAAGAGATGGAGAGTTGCAGACTGGATAAGAAAACATAACCCATCAACATGCTATCTACAAGAGACACACCATAGAGAGAAAGACAAAAACAGAATAAAAATCAAAGGTTGGAAGACGATATATCAAGCAAATTGCAACCAAAAAAGAGCAGGAGTAGCAATATTAATTTCTGATCAAACTGACTTTAAGAGAAAAAGCACCATAAGAGACAAGGAAGGACATTATATAATGATTAAAGGATCAATTGAACAGGAAGATATAACCATAATAAATAACTGTGGACCCAATGAAAGAGCCCCTAAATACTTAAATCAGACTTTAACAGAACTGAAAAGGCAAATAGATGACTCCACAGTCATAGTAGACTTTAATATACTTCTTTCAATCAAAGATAGAACTGGAAAGAAACTCAACAAAGATGCAGAAGAGCTAAACAATACAATACACCAACTTGACCTTATAGACATCTACAGAGCACTTCACCCAACAACAGCACAATATACATTCTTTTCCAGTGCACATGGAGTATTGTCCATGATAGACCGTATGATCAGCCATAAAGAAAGCCTTAATAAATTTAAAAACATTGAAATACTGCAAAACATCTTTTCAGATCACAATGCTATCAAATTAGAAATCAACAATAAGATGATCAATGGAAAAAGAGCAAACACATGGAAACTGAACAACACTGTCTTTAAGAACTACTGGGTAACAGAAGAAATATAAAATGAAATTTAAAAATTCCTTGAATCAAACAAGAATGGAAACACTACACACAAATATCTTTGGGAACAGTAAAAGCAGTGATCAGAGGAGAATTTATAGCAATAAATACACACATCAAAAGAGAAGAAAGAGCCAAAATGAACACTTTAAGCCAACATCCCTAACAATTAGAAAAAGAACAGCAAAATAAAAGCCTACAGTCACCAGAAGAAAG